TTTGATAAATTATTTTTTTAGAAAATGTAGACTTTACAAGCATAAGAGTAACCAATAACAAAATGACTTCACGAGGAAACCTTAGTTCCATTCACATTTAAATGTAAATGGATGTCATTTTTGGAACCATGCCATGCTTTCACCTGTCAACGTTAGTTGATTACTGCAAATGCTCTGGACATTTTCTAAGAAGAATGCTGAAAGTAGTATACTTAGCACTGTATAATTTTTCTTAATTTCTACAGCTTTACCCAGACTCTTACACTATTATGTTACCAGTACATGCCGAACCCTGACCCCAAACTCAACTGAAATCTTAACCAACCCCTGGCCTAGAAACAGTGCTTCTTCTTTCAGGGCCCAGTTGTTGAGCCTTGAAATACTATGTTGCGTCTTCCCAACATAGTATTTGTTGGAAAAATGGGGCTTTCAATGTATCAAATATAAGGTCACACCCTCGCATATCACACACACGTGCTCAAAAGAATGATTTATGAAGGTATATGGACAGATTATTCTTCAATGTAGGAAGTTCTAAAACCTCTGGCCAGAATTACATACATGTTTTTTGCCATGCACTATAACCACAACAGTGTGTTAAAGTTAAATAAGAGGACAGCTACTCATTGCACTCTCAGAGATTTCCAATGTAGAGTTGTCCTTCAGCTGTATCACAAAAGAAACAGATGACCTGAATCCTTAAATAATATCCTTAAAAAAGCCTCACAGACTCACAGGAGACGTTGGTCCTAATCTATCATGAATTGATTCAAAACAGCTTTAATTATCTTTTAAAAATATAAATATAAAAGAACAGAACAGCATTCTAAAGTACTTTCACTGAAGCTTTATATTTCCTAACAAAACACTAGTATAAGGAATTTGAATAAGATGACTGTCAAAAAAACAAAAAATAAACAATCTCTTTGACTTAACATTACACCAGTTACACAAACATAGTAACAAGCAAATGATTTCCACTCACAGATGTCTAAGCAGGCTATTTAAGTTTGAAAAAATGAGGACCTCTGGCGCTCCTGAGCAGAACTGCACATTCAAAATGGTGTCTGAAAATAAGGAGCGATTGTTTTAGCTCTAACCACGATTGATATGCAAATATTAAATATCTGAAAGTAAAACAGAAGATGTGATTATGGTTTTGTTTAACTTGGTGTAACAGATCATTTTGGGCAGAAATAACGGTTTTTCTTCCCTACAAATACCCTTGATGTGAACACTATGTTCATTCACATTTAATTTCAGCTGGGTTTTTGTTTTACTTTCCTGTTCTGACATCTTTTTTTTACCATAAACTGAAAAAGAAAATATTTTACTATACATCTAAATGTATAATTTCAGATTGGAAACTTGAGCAAACACACCCAAGCTTCATCCCCCGAGACAGGTGAGCTATGATACAGTGCTGGTCTTTTTTTTTATTTAAATCTGGCAATATCTGGTAAAACAGTGGCACTGTTTCAATATGTAACAGTAAATCGCTATGTAAATGAGAATAAAGAAGAATATATTTCAAAGATAAAATATTTCGCTGAACATGTGGATTTTATGAAGTAAAATGTTTGCATCAAAGTCCATATAACCACAGATTTTGTAAATGTAACAAAACATTTCACACACAGTGGCTGTCTAACAAATCTCATGTGACCTTTAGGGAAGATGACCATATTTCCAGCCACCAGACTATCATTATAATGGAGGAAGACCCTGCTGTGATTGAATCAGCTACTTATCTGTTTGAGAGGAATCCATATTCCTCCACTTTGATGAAGTACCACAAGGGAGCACTGCATATGCTAAGAGGTGGTCATTTGATTAAAATCAGAAGTTATGATATTGTACTTGTTGGCCATGGTAGAGAGGCTTCCACAGGAGAACTCTACTTGGCTGGTTATGGTGCAGAAGAAGTTGCCAGATTGGTATCCAGCCTGAAGACAGACACCCTCATTGATCCCATTGGCACCATCAGCCTAATCAGCTGCAACCTTGGAAATAATCAGAACTTTGCCCTGAAGCTGCTCCAAGCTCTCCGATCTCTGAATGTGGCAACAAAGCTGCACCTACACAAAACACTTATATCAGTCTCCACTGATGGGGGAATAATGAGCGGACGAGGGGGTGTCTGGAGGTCCCATGACTACAGCAGTAGAGTCATTGCTGAACTCAGCCCAACAAGTGACCTGTTGACAAGGCAAACATTTGGCTGTGCAGGTTCAGTATTTCCAGACTATAAAGGAAATGTTCTGTATTTTAAAAGTTTAGAGTGGCCAAGATATCCTCAAATGTTCGTCCCAGTGGAGCTGCGCAAAAAGTACCCCTCTATTGACTGCTTGGAGGGGCTCACTTGGAGTTTGTTCTTTGAGGAAAATGAAAAAAGACGCGCTCCAGATTATATCCCCAACAACGACCACCTAAAAGCCATTTGGCTTGAAGTGACAGAAGAGAACAGTATTGTCCTTAAACATATCTCCAACATACAGGACCTTCTTGTGGAGATCCGCTACAGTGCTAGAGAGGAAGTGGCCTCAGAACAGTATTATGTTCTAAATGACTGCATTTATAAAATACATGGGAAAAACTTGAGCGCAAGTCTGGTAGGAAAGTTCATGAGGACTGACAATGAAGCTGAAATTGAACTATTTCGTCAGACTTTTGGTGACCAGCAGGGGGAATCTTCCCTGCTGGAGCTGCAGCAAGGTCTTAAAGCATCCAAATTTACTGACTTCTGCCGCCAGACATTTCAGTTCCAGCAGTGTACCTACAACTGTGAAAGGTGGGGGCGTTACTTCATGGCAGCAGTTTTCTCGGCATCAGTACGCAACTTCCGAACCTTCTCACTTTTTCTGATGAGTGTTATCGGCTGTGAAGTGGGACACACTCGAGGTACTGACAGTGCCCTGTGCACAGCGTTTGTCGGCGATGACCACCCCATGATTACTGATCAGCCCTGGCCTGACCACCTGAAGCGAGGATTCTATGGCTGCACTGTTGACAACTATGAAATGGCACCACAGAACAGACAGATCTGGCTAGATCAAGTTGTTGCGAAGGAAAATGCTTTGTACATTAAATCAAAGCAAATGATGGATGCTGTTAATCACAATGACCAAACTGAGTTGGAGATCTTTGGCAAGATTAAAGTAATGAACAAGTATGTGTTTTCATCTTATCTGGAATACTTTCGTGGTACACCTGAAGGCAAGAAACTCAAGAGAGGATGCACTCCCTTGTTCTATGAGAACTAAAATACACAGTTTTAATAAGTTTGGATTAGATTAAATTTGAATAACCCAGCTACTGCTAAGATGTCTCTCACGCTCTGCATTAAATAAACACTTTTATCATTAAACTTTTATTATATCTTCCTAATTCATAGCAGATTAGTTGTTAACATAAATATGATGACATGTTTGTCACAGGCTTTGGAATTCTTCTACTGCAGTCTTTAAAGAATAAACACTGGGAATGAAGTTTTGTTTTGATCATTCTTTGGATGTAAGTACTTTGTATTATTAAAATGAATTCTCCTGGTTTCATAAAGACATTAGTGCATTAAAAACATAATAAACAGGAACTGAATAAAAGGAAACTCATGACAGGATGTTCACGAGGATCCAGCAAGGAGTAGAAGCAGGAGAGGTGTGTAAGTACTAGATGGAACAATAGACCTGGGATGACTAGCTAACTGGTTGCAGGTGTGATGAGAGAGAGCAGAAGGCAAACTGAGAGAGAGAGAAAGAAAGAAGGAATGAGGGAGAGCACACAAATGGGAACTAAAAAATGAATCTAACTGTAATAATGAACAACTTAGCAGAAGGAATGAATTAACAAACTAGAAAAGAACAGAAGTAAAACAGAAAGTCTGATCTATTCACAATAAGAACAGATTAAAAAAATCAGAACTAAGAACCCAGAAAACCCAAAACAAGCCAGGATCCTGACACTCGGTGCACTTTGGTTGCACCTAGTACCTGTAGTAGACCAGACACTCATGTTCTCTGCTGGGGATAAAACTCCTCATTATAGTGCAGTGGAAAGCTTTAGAAATAGCTTCATAATGACTTATAGACCAATACATAGAAATTACTTTGTTTTTTGTCTTGCAGCTGTTTTTTAATTTCTTCAGACTGGGGAATGAGGGGCTGATTTCTCAGGAACCACAAATATGGAAATTTGATAACTGAACACACTACCAGCTTCTCTGCTGGAGGAAGCAGAGCTGAAGTCACATATTCATCAGACAGAGAAACTGTGGTGGGGAATGGTGATGCAGGGTCATAGGTCAGCCCTGTGTCTGCTGTGCAGAGACAGCCCAGTAAAGTGTCCAGGGTGGAACAGCAAGCAGAGGCTGAAGAAAGCCGACTGAGGGCAGGAGAAACTATCTGTACTGATGAGGTACAGAATGAAAAGAGGAACCTCTGACTAATGTATTAGATACATTATTTTGCTTGTCCACATTGCTTGCCAGATAAGCTTCTCTAGATTTAAAATTTGGCAAAATTCTGGCACATGAAGGAAATTTCAGCTGGTAACGGGCAGACTAAAAAGTTGAAGTAATAGTAATAAAAATATCTGGTACATTTTTTGCTCTTATTTTGTCACACATTGCTCATGATATGGCAATGAAACTGCCATGGTGGAATGCCCCTGGCACACATTCAGCAGGATGGGGTGTGGCCACAGAGAGGGCCTTTGCTGTTTTCATTGTTCTACCACAAGAATTTTAACCCCACCTTGGTTTTGTCAAAACCCAGATATTAGACTCTAACATCAGTCTGGTTAACTCACCTTGTAACTTACAGAACATATGTCATATATATTGATTAAAGAACCCTGGTATTTGTACAAGTCTTAAACTATTAGAAATGCCTGTTCATTCAAAATCTAATGAAGTAGAGTGTGAGTTTACTGATTAGACAGCTGAGAATTCCCAAAAAATAGATTTTATACAGGTGAATGAAAAGTCAATTCATAAGAAGTTGAACTAAAATGTTTTTATTTTTAAACCAAGAAGGGTTTCAATTTGTGTGATTAGATATGTTAACATTTATGATAAAACAATGTAACAATAACATATAAATTTCAGTTTTTTTAACGTAGCAAAATGACATTATTGTGTTATCTGTCAATGTTAATCTTGAGCATGATGGGCTAGCTGGCAGATGCACATGTTTTTTCTTCAGATTGTTCACCTCCAGCAGATGAACAACATAAAAATCTGGGGATTAATAAAATATTGTTTAATTAAGTATACTTTCCAGTTGTATTTTATCTCAAAAAATGTGATTTCATGACAGTGACAGGGGAATGATAATTACGACATGATAACATGATTTTATAACAAGCCCCTTCCTTGATCAGGGTTGGAAACCATATGTTGTGGTTGAAATAATATTGGACATTTGTTATATTGATTAAAATGTAAGTATGAAAGATAGATCAATTTTTAACTCCAGACTAGAAAGCTTGCCGACGAGCTGAAAGCCTGCCCTTCACAGGAGGATGCAGTTGCAAGATGAACCTGCCTGGCTGAGGAGGCTATGCTGGTTGGAGGCGACTGACTCGATTAAGCTCCAGAAGTGTTTGAAAGAGATGCCCTCTCCATCTGCTACACCCATCTTCCGCAGAATCTCTCCCAGTCCCTGTTCTGTGTTGATCCCCTGTATGAACAGAACAAAATGAAGATTTCATTATTAAGCCATCAGTCAGAGATTTGCAGCATAAAATCAAACTCCAGTATGCTTTTTCTTCAGCAGTGGAGTCTTATTCAATCACACTAAATGTTGGGTAAATTGTATTATTATCAAATGTTGTTATACCTTTATAATATTCTTGCTTTATGTACTCTTATTTGTTTAATCATGTCTTTTAAGAAATATTCCTGTATTGTTAATCACTCTGATTTCCTTTCTCAGAGGGCCTCTCAGAAGAAAAGCAGTGACAGCAGCTATTTACAAAATGCCCTGCCTTTTGACCAATTAGATAGCTGTAAAACTGTCGCCATGAAGATATGCAACTTGCTCTGTTTGACCCTGTGTCAGAAACTGGATATTCTACGTTAAGATAGATTGTGTTGTTAGTTAGTGATAATCATTGGCGCTGTAACTGTGTGAAGTGTCTTCCCTCTCCCTTTAGAGTTGCAGTGCTCTCTGTGATCAGGGATCCTAAAAGAGAATAAAAAGAGAGGGGCAGGCAAATGTGCTTTCAGAGCGGTAGGAGATTTGTAACTGAAAGCACATCTCTGTCTGTTCTCCTCGCGAGTATTCAGAATCTAACTTTCTCTTGTCTTTCCTGTGTTATTTAATCTGTGTTAATAGGTGTCAACTCTGACACTAAGGAAGCTGCTAATACTGGGCCTTTCAGAAGCTCTTCAGAGGTGATCCTTGACTTTTGGGTACATTTTCTGCATATTCTTTCAACTTAAAGCACTTTGGTTTTCCATCATTCTTCTTCCCCATTATCCTAGTAGTGACAAACATTTTTACAGATCGTTAGGACAAAATCAGCCATACTAAGCCAGTGTATTGGCTCTCTATGCCTATCTCATAAGCTTTCATGTGTCCAATAATTAATACCTATGTCATTACACCTTCTCACATATCACTTAATTTCTAGACTAAGTTGTGTGGATTTCTTATACGTGTAGATGACTCGGGTTGTTCCTGAAATTTGGTGAGAAACGTCACTAATGTTTTTATTCTTCTTGCTGTGTGTGTCTTTGACAGCAGGATAACAGTACAAACCAAGAGAAACAGAAAGAATGTTTGCTGTTTGCATATTGTTTTAAAGGCCTGGCCTTCATGTAGATGGTTCTCTGTCATTATCATCATCAAAATGAATGCATACTATTAAAATGATTCAAGAGGAACACATAAAGTTCCAAATGATGTTTCTGGATTCTCCAGACTTCAGCTGTCTTGGTCCTGTGGGAAAGTATTACTAAGCCTGACTGCTGAGGGCCCTGCTGCAGCTTCTAGGATTCAGGATGAGTCCAGAATCTGCTACTGACCGCTTGGAACCAGATTCCACAGAACACAGTCAGAGGTTCAGTGTGGTTTAATAAGTCAATGTTTAAGAACCAAAAAGGAACCTGCTTGATGCCAATATTATGTTAAAATGATGTTTGTAAAGATTTTCAAAAACTGACTAAATAAATCAAGTTAACCATAGTGTTCCTGTTCCTACAAATATCAGGTTTCAGTGGATGTAAACTGTAGCAAAGCTGACTATTCTTAAATTTGGCCGTTAAAATTGCTTAATAAAAAACCCTTTTGTTTCATTCACTACATGGATGTTTCATTTAGACATTCATATAGTGTTACTCGTCACTAAAAGGTTTAATTTGAAAACCACTGGACATAAAACTATTCAACAAAATGTACAAAACATTTCAGTGTTCATCTAAACACCACCATCAGCTGTAATTTCATTACAGGAAACGTTTTTGTTAAATAACACATGGAAAAGGACATGGTGGAATCTCATGCAGTCGCATGACTACTGGGAGTTGTAGATTTTTTTTTATGTTTTTTATTTGAAAGAGAACAATGCTCCAGTAGCTTAAGATAGTACTCCCTCTCCTGTCTGTGAGACAAGAGTTTGGAGAATTATCTCAATTTTCTATTTGCATTTACAACTGATGAAAAGGTTTTTATGTTCAGTGTTTCAAAAATTAAACTTTCTTAGGAAGGGGACTGCTTTTCTTGAACAGTCTAAGATAGTTCTAAAATGTAGCTTTCTTCACTTCTTCCTGTTTAAAATACTGCAACATAATATCATGTTTATCTATATGGCATATGTAAAACTAACAAGAGTTAACCAATGTACTTCAACAATACAATTATCATAAAATAGTAAATGTTCTTACTGATGTAAATTCAGGCACAAGTTTATCTTGGAGTGTATTAGTAGGGATGCTCAGTATCGGCCAACATTAGTCATCTGAACGTATCAGTATCAATAAAACTGGACCGATATTAACAATCAATATTTATTTCCATCTTGTTGCTGCTTGTTTCTGGAGAGGGTGGAGGAGGTTTGTCATGTGATATTTGTCTGGTCATGTAACAAGTGGTGCAGCGAAGGATTGTGGGAAGTTTAGCTAAAGCAGCTAAACATCAGAAGGGTGTCCGTCTTTTTTTGCACTATATTACATATAGTGCAAAAATGTATGTAATATTGGTTATAGGCCTTTGCAGATTGATACTGGATATTGATATCAGCAACATCCAGTGTAATTTTGATGGATGGATGGACAATGTAATTTTTCATTGTGCATCCTTGCTAATTAGAGTTTAGTGGGAATGCATTGAATTATAGTTACAGTATCAATATAGCCAATCACAAAGAGCTGACTGGGCTCAGTATTTGGTGATATGCTATGCTACCAACTGTCATAGATTCCTGTGCTACATATAACTACATGTAGCTATCAGCATGTTGCCTGATGGGCACTAATTGGCCTTAATGGCTACAACAATGTACACTTGTGGCTGTGAATACTAAAGTTCATGGACACTGTGACAAGTTTGACACATTTTCCTAATGTTGTGCTACCCTAGTTATAATACCTTACAATAATGCAAATCTAATGAAAGAGAATTTATTCTCTCTCATTAAGAAAATAATTTCTGGAGTTTTTTTTATCTGCATTGAATGTTCAAATCAAAGAAATAATATGTTTAAAATTAACTAATTTCTTATTTGTATAAGAAAACTGAAGATTAAAGAGTGTGTCTGTGTCGTCATTGTTTCTGTTTGCTGGTGCCTGTCTGACTCTGCTAAGCCTTTGTATGAGCTGAGTAAGGTGAGGCGGGTGGCCACACCCAGGTGTTAGTCAACAGCAGATCTGGCGCACAGAGAGGCACATCCACTCTAATGGCAGTTTTACCTTCACCAGATTTGGCATGTTGGAGGACAAAAGACCTTTGAACTCTTCTGTTTTCAGTGTTGGGCTGTTGTCTGCTGAGGCCGAGTGGAACTGGCTGACCAGAGTGTTAATCGCTTTCTCCAACTCAGAATACTAAACAGGAAAAGAGATAAAATGAAAAGATTAATTATGTTAAGCTTTAACAACAACTTGTAAGTAAACGGTAAGTATTGTTACAGTAACTCAAAACCCGTAGAGTGTCTTTAAAATAGATCGATTTTATTTTCTTTAAAGATTCATCAAGGCATTTGCAAGTAATCAACATATTCTCTGGCTTTTATTATTAAAATAATCAGATTAAAACCAGTTGTTAATCAAGTTTACAAAACAGGCCACTGCAAGGCTCCAATAAAACATTTACACAACCCAAGCTGAGACAGGAAAATAAGGCTGTTTTCCATGACAACTGTCTCCAAGGCACAAGTAAACAACAAATACCATAATGCCTGTAGATCTTTACCAGCTGCTGTCATTATTTAAAACTTCTGTTGGATACATGAGAAAGAGCAGAAACCACTAGACCAGAGACGGGGACAAACAACAACACAGGAGTCGTTTGGAATGTCAGAAACATTCCTGCTAAATGACAGTCAACTAATCTGATGTTAGCCGGCATTCTGTGAATACATGTGCATTTAGTTGGTTAGATCTAATCTGATCATGTTGGTTAGCTAATGTCTAATTGTTGTCAATTAGACATTAGCTAATGTCTAATTGTTATCAATTAGACATTAGCTGCACTGTTTTCATTAGCTACGTAATAATCACTAAAGCTGAACCTAATCTTTAATGCAAAACCCAAGTTTTAATGCTAACTATGTTTAATTTCAAGAGCTTGAAAATCTTATTGATCTGATCTTAAACAATCTGTTGTACATGCATTTAAATGCATGTACAACATCACACACACCTGATATTGAACATATCACTGGTGTAGTTGCATAGAGCCATGAAGCATAATCATTTAACCTCAGATACATTAAGAGTACATACAAAGTGTCAAACTATAAGGAGGTCTTTTTTCATTTAAGAAAGCTGTAGATGAATGAGTGTCCTAGAATGATTCCTCAGTTTGTAATTATTGTTTGAGTTTTGACGCCTGCATTGGTGATGTGCCTAGAACACTTGCTAAAGGAACTTAAGAATCCTCTGGGTCTGGGAACCCCTTGGAACTACCCAGAATAAACTGGAGTGACTATTTGGATTAGGGTTAGGGTTCTCCTGGATCTGTCACCCCATGACCAGATCTCAGATAAGTTGAACACACTGAATGAATGAATGAATGAATGAATGAACGAACAGGTAAAGAAGGATGCTAAAATTATAGATGTTCCTTGGAATCACGTGTACAGACACATAGAGATAAGAACTCAGTCTATTGAGGTTCATGGCAGTTCAGTCATATCTAAACAGACAAGTTTTTGGTTTGAAACAATGTCATACAAATGCTGTTACATTCCTAAATGTTTCCCAGTAATTGTTGTGCTTAGACAATCTGTCACCTTTGCTCCAGTGTTTTTACTAGCTTAACTAAATAGCTAGAGTCTTAAACTCTTTCCTATCCTATGGAGCAGCTGGGACATAGTCTAATTTTTAATTTTGACTTTACATATTGCTTAACTCAGTGGTGTCCAAAGTCGGTCCTAGAGGGCCGGCATCCTGCATGTTCTCTCCCTGGTTTAACGCACCTGAATCAAACGATGGCTTATTAAAAGGCCTGAGAAGAAAATTGATATGCTGAGAAGGTTGTTACTACCGCCAGGGAGAAAGCTAAAATATGCAGGATGCCGGCCCTCAAGGACTGAGTTTGGACACCACTGACTTAACCAATCCAAAGTTGCAGGAGTTCCAGATTAGCTTTAAAGTTAATTAACAGTTGCCTATTTACGAAAATTACACCATTATTATTCTATTTGGTTGCTGACCAAGCTTATTAGGGAAGAAACAAGTCAAATGGATACAAATCCAAACTGACTGATCAAATTGTCTATTTGAACTATTTAATTTAATCAAGTGAATAGAAACAGAACACTCAGAGTAGACAAAATTTTAACAGAATTCAAATTTCTTGGCCAACACAAAAGAACTACCAACTTTTATTATAACATGAACAGTGCTAAGCTTATTTGACCTTTTTAACACCTACAGGCTCTGATGGGTCACTGGTGTCACATAATGACCAAAAATAGATGAAGTTTTTACACTGACTGACAGATCACATGCTTAAAACTACACAGAAGAAAAAAATGTCTCAACTGAAGTTAAGGAGAAGAAAGCAAATATAATGAGCTTCAAAGAGCACACAGCGGATCAATAATTGTTTGATTCCTTGCTGATTTTCTACGTTTGCTCACATATGAAAAAATTTGTGGCAGCCGTTTCATTTTATTTTGAAAAGTTGTGTTATCAACTAAAAATGTAGAAATAAAGTACATTACATCATTTATGAGAACTGAGCAGCTTGTCATTGAGTAAAATAGATGTTTCATCCCCTTCTGAACCCTGACCCTACAGCTACGTATACAGTCATAGGGCAGAAAGATCCATGCTACTACATATACTCCTCTTGACCTTGGTCATCCACAGTGACCCAAAACTATCCACCCAGGCAACAAAGGAGTGACTGCACTCATGAATCCTACATGAAGTCTACAGAGAAAATGGAGTAAGCTTCTCTTAAGCAGAGGGTTCTGTTCGGCTGCAGGAATCATTGGGTATTATTGGTGTTATGAACTTGCATTTTTCACACGGATGTAATATTTGTCTCGCGTCAGCAGTTGCTCACATCTGACATAAATACCATTACCCAAAATGCTAACAGTCTCAAAGTGATAGAAAGACAAGTAAGAAGGAGAGGAAAGAAGAAATCAGACATATATTGAAAATGATATTGTTGTTGGAATATTTATCAAAAATAATCACTATTGTAAGATTTTAAAATATAATGCAGCCCTAATAAGTGATAAATCCTGTTTTCTTAATCTTTTTTTTTCTTAGTGACATGAAAATTTGTTTTAACTCACTGCATTTTTTGGTTTGGTCTCTTTACATTAAAATTAAACTAACATAAAAATTAGATACCAACTAAATGAGCTGTCTTACTAAATTCAACAGAGTAATTTTCTTATTTGTTTTCATATTTAACATTTCTATAACTGATTTTCTTTCTCAAGGTAAGAAAAACCAGATGAATGACAACAACATTCCAGTCACACATTAAATTCTAACAGCAATACGTTCTGGCTTTATTTTTGGGTTTTTTGTTGAAGCATTTCTTTGGCAAAGTTTCACATATCTGCCTTTATTCCACAAACACCCGTTGCCTTAATTTAATCCCCTTTTAGTGAAAAAGTTCCTTATATTCTTTATTTTGTCACAGCTTCTGAACACTTTAAGTTAATCAGTTTGGTCAACCAGATTGCATTTAGTTAATGTCTACCACACCCAAATCCAGGTCTCTGCTGTCTGAAACAACGGTCCGGTGTACTTCTGTGATTTAAAGATTCAGATATTAGAAGAGTTTTGAGAACGTTTATTTTAAGCTTTGTCTAAGAAAGTTTGCAATCTTACATGGTTTGCTTTCTGTGACTTATTTTAAGAATCAGGGCGTAACCGCTCGTTCAACAGCGATTCCTAAATAAAAAAAAAAAGATGCCCCATCAGGGAGAAGGAAACTGTTCGAAACCGAAAATCTTCGGATTTTCTCCTTGATCGGTTATGAAATTGATCTTAATAATTTCAAACGGCTCGCAGAACGCCCTGCGATGGAAGGAGCTGCGTTTCGTTGTGCGTCATGTTCGCTCAAGGCCTGCACTACGCACCGCCAGGTTACTACAGAGCTTCCTTAGATTCACATCCTGCTTCCAAATCGCCCGAGTATTGAACATTTTGAAGCTTTTACCATGCCCGGACAGCACAGCAGCCACATTACAGAGGAAGATTTGCATGGATCGCGTTGTTACGCTCTCCTGGCCTCACAGGAGCGGCTGACGCTGCGTCGCCTCTTCCTAGGGAGGGGCCGTTGGCTGAAGGCGCGCGCGCGTACACACACACACACTCACACGTACATCTGGAAAATTTTTACTCGGAACAAAAGTTCGAAAAGAAACTTTGTCAAGTTGGGCTGACTCTTAAAACTTTGAAAGACTTAAATAAACCGGAGCGCTTAAAAGCCGCTCTGCTTCTCTTTTCAGCGGCAAAGAGCCGAGATGTGTGGAAGTTAACCAGCTCAGCGGCGAACAACGTCCCCCTTAACCGAAGTCCGTGATACAGAATACAAACAGCAGCAGCTTCATGCAGTCCTCACTTGCAGGCAGTGACCGAATAGTTTGAGTTTCTTACCCCAGGCATGTCGGCTGTATGGAGTGTCTTCCTGTAAAGTCTGCTGTGTGTCAGTGGAGCACCGCGTCTGTCACAAGTTGGCAGCTCTCCTGGATCCTCCCTCTGCAGGTAGGAGGAGCTGGGAGCTGTCGCAACACCGCCAGGTTACACCTCTGACACAACAATCCAACCCGATGCATGCACCTTTCATTCTATCAATCATAATCTCATGCATCAAAGTGCTAAAGGTAATGTTTCAGGAATTATCCCAGCCACGGCTCTCAGTCAATACATGACTCAGTCAACATCTGGAAGTCTTTAGTGAAGACTTTGCATTTTTTACATGAAGACTGCCTGCAAGTTTGGGCTGGTATTTCCCTTCTCTTCTTACTGTTTGACATACATCTTGAGCAACTTTACAGAGCCAAATTAATTCCAACTGCTGTCCTAATATCTAAAAGTTGAGCTTGTAGGTTTTCTCATAAAAAGGGAGATGGAGACAGGCCGAGACAGAAAACAGAGAGAAGGGAACTGGCAGGACCACATTCTTTGTCTGCTTTTCTGACTTAGTTCACACAGCTCACTCCGGTCTCTGTACAAACAGGTGGAAAGCCTGACTTTTATTGACTTTGGAGGCTTTGACCATCACAGCCCAAGTTTAATAAGGAGTCAAAGTATTTGTTGTTAAGCTGAAAAGTAATTTGGCAGCAAGAATGTAACGGCCTGCCTGCTTCATCTGCAATTACAGTTCATACCAAGGAATATGTGGACTCTACACTAAGAAATCACCCTCATGACCAAATTTATGAGTTCATAAATATGTAAACTAATAATCTTTATTATTACACTGCATCAGATTTTTTGCCCAATTTTACTGCCAGCATTTTCTTATTTTGTAGAGAGACAAAATTAAAGATTAAAGGTATGATCCTGTCTGACTGTCATCTAGACTGACTTTTATGTATTCAGTGTCTTAAAGAACAGGATACTGACAGCAATGACCACTGATGTTTGCAGAGCTGAAGTCTCCTATTTGTCTTGTAAACAGTAACCAGGCCCTATGATGGGTTAAAATGTGTAAGTATGGCAGGGTGTGTTTCAGAAGTAAGTGCAAAGGTGGGAAATTTGAATCAGACAATGTTTCACAATGACCTGCTGACTATTAAGTTCATTTTTTTTTGTGAATCTCTACAGTGTATTACAGTCCACCATGACTGGAGACAGATACAACAGACAGAATGCAACCAATAAAACATTCTGACTGTTTTATTGGCCAGCATAAAACCAATCATCCATCCAGAATTTATTTAATATGGATGGATATTAATCCACAAATGTGGGCAAATTTATGGATTAAGTTTAACAACTAAAATGAGCTTAACTCAAATCTCAAATAGTTTAGTTGTACCAAGTCAACTAAATTTGTGAAATTCAAACCAGTTATTCTGATAACTTTTCCTTTTCTGGTTTCCACTCAGAAACCAAAAATAAGAATTGGTTAAAACAGTACTAACACCAAAGTGATAGTGCTGTCTCTAATCTAGTTAAATTCACTTCAATTCATGTTCCAAAAATTCTACACTCTATACAGCAAGTGAGAATTCCAGTTACACAATTTTTTTATTTTTTATTTTTTTACTTTTTTTTATGACTTATTTCTGATGGAACATTTGCTGATCAGGTGATCTTTTCATGAGTCACAGCAGTTCTGACCTGACTTGAGATGCTTAAACTCCTCCAGTCTTTTCTCAGTGACTTCATAGATGATGTTGTCCAGCACTTCTCTTGCTGGGTATCTCTTGTCTAATTGGTTGTTGACCTCAGTCATGAGCCATGGGAGGAAATTCACTGAAATATCTTTCTCCACAGGGTCATAGAAGTAGCTGTGCTTTCTGAGAGAGGAGAAGACTGCAGAGAGGAGTCCAGCCAAGTACTGCTGGCTGAACACCCGGGCGGCGATTTTCTCGCAGTTTCCTGCTCCTTCTTTAGCACTTCCTTCTGTTGGGCAACTCTGTGCTCTTTCTCCTCTCGGTCGCGTCTCTCCTGCTCCTCCAGATGCTGTACCTCTGCCAGCTCGTTGTTTTGGAGCTCTTGGAAGACCCTCTGCTGGGTCCTCAGGCAGGCCAGCTCCTCCTCCTCCATCACTTCCAGCAGGGACTGTTCAATCGTCTTTCCAACCAGAACCTCCAACACAGGTTGCACCTCCAGGTCAAAGTCAATCAGATCCCCCTCCTCTATCTGCATTTCAACATCTACCCCCAATTTGGCAGGGACAAAGAGTGGCGTTGATGGTTTATCCAGGAACTCATCGGTCTGACAATCAATCTCACTAACTTGAATGATATTGCTCAGCTCCTCAAGGAAAGAGTCTGTTGTACAACATGTTGCCTGCCATGTATTGCTTCAGGAGTCTTGGTTTTAACTGTTCCTTGGCCTGTTTTCGAGCAATAGCTCTCCTTCTGTATGCCTGCTGCATACCAGGGTCTGATTGATTATTTTTTGAAGTGACCTGCTGGTCGTGGAGATTTCCTCTGACGACCCGACGATCATACATAATGTTTCCATACTGCAACTGACTCGGGTTGGGCAGATCTCTGTATTTGCGGATCTCCACAGGTTTGGGGTGACTTGAGTAGGTGAACATCCCGTTTGGTTCTCTGGGGCAGTAAAGATGGAAAGCAATGGATTGGAAGCTGCTCCAAACTTTATTTACCGAGATTCGGTTCAAATTGGCGCTGACTCTTGGCGAGTAAAGTTGTCTGTCCAGTTACACAAATGTCTTCTTCTACTAAATTCCTATCACAATGTTTAGGTACAACTCGTCACCAAAATAAATTTGCTACTGCTATGGTTCATTAAGCTGTGAGGTATTTAAGCACTGATTGAATTGCCTTTAAATCTCCTTTTTCTAGCATAAAGTACATTGAACATAATAGAAAAATTCAGCCCTGATTGTGTGTCTACATGGTGGTTGAATGAGACCAGCATTTATGAATAAATGGGACTCAGGATGTCAGTGAATCCCATCAGGGATACCATGATGGGATATCACCTGTCCAGCAATTACATTTTCTGTCAGAAATTAGTGGGATCATAACAAAATGGAATTATTTGGGAAAAACAGCAACTGAGCCACTCAGTGGGTAGAGCAAGAAAACCAGGGAGAGGGAGCAGAGGATGCTGGTCAGAGGTCAGCAGTTACAGAACTCCAAATTTCATGTGCTCTTCAGATGAACTCAAGGATAGTGAATTGAAAGCTTCAATGATCAAGTGCAATGCAAAGTTTTGGATACAATAATGCAAAGCACACTTCCACTGGACTCTAAAGCAATTGAAATGTGTTCGCCATAAGGACAAATTATCGATCTCTGGATGTGTCTGAGAGCTGCACAATGGCGCAGTTCGTAGAGCTGTTGCCTTGCAGCAAGAATGTTCTGGGTTCGATTCCCAGCCCAGGGCCTTTCTGCATGGAGTTTGCATGTTCTCCCTGTGCATGGTGGGTTCCTCCCACAGTCCAAAAACATGACTGTCAGGTTAATTGGTCTCTCTCCTTCTTGTCCAGCAGAAGGAAGTTAATTGGGGTGTGTGTGTGCATGGTTGTCTGTCTCTGTGTTGCCCTGCAACAGACTTGCGACCTGTCCAGGGTGTACCCCACCTCTTGCCTGGAACGTTAGCTGGAGATAGGCACCAGCAACCCTCCTGACCTCACTAGGGACAAGGGTGTATAGAAAATGGATGGATGTGTCTGGGTTTAGCAGGTACAGGTGAAGGACAGTCTCATTGCATTGTGTCAAATCTATAGTTTGTTGGAGGGAAGATTATAGTTAGAGACTATTAAATTGGGCAGGCCCCTTAAACTCCTTTTCCACAACTCAGTTTGACTTGATTTTTAATGTTTTCCATAAGGTACTTATATTTGGTATCAACACTTTTTTAGTATCTACTCAGACAGCAGAGTTAAGCTGAAAATGCCATGCCAAAAGACTGCCGGTCACTCACTGGCTATGGGATTATGTTACTGGTTGAGACACCAGAGCAACTCTTGTTACAGGAATCAACCCCACATTTTTAAAAATACTAACAGTGACTAAACATATTTCAAGTTTCAAGAAAATGTTCAGACTGAAATCAAAACCGTAGTTCAGCATAGAGGTTCAGACATTTTGTGCTTGGTGGCTGATGATCAAATACAGAAGGAGCTAGATAGTGGTTTGTAGCAAACAAACCATGTTTTACCAAGACTGAGGATGAAAAGCCCTGGACTGGATGAGACCTCAGTGGTTCAGTCTTCTTCTATCTAAAGTAAAATTAGAATTTTCTTTAAAGATCAAGGTCTCGGAATCCGGAGAAAGAGTGGGGAAGCACATAATCTGTGTTGCTTAAGAGTCCAGTGTGAAGTTTCCACAGTCAGTGATGGTTTGGATCACAATGTCATCAGCTGGTTCTGGTCCACTGGGCTTGCTTAAGTTCAGAGTCCATCTGCTGACAGACTGTATGGAGATGTTCCTGCAGGAGTTTGTATCAGCAGACACGGCCAAAGGCACCAACAGCTGCTTCAGTGACCATGGAGTTCCTGCTCTTGACTAGCCAATAAAATCTCCTGACCTTTAACCCTGTAGATTCTAGAAAATCTCTGGGCTGTTGTAATGAGGAAGATGAAAGGCAGCCGACCCAACGAGGCAGTTAATCACACCTACGCAGAGCCACAAGCTGATGTCCTCCATGCCACGGTGCATTAACGCAGTAAGTCATGCAAAAGGAGTCCAAACCAAATACTGAGCCCACAGATATGAACCACCATTTCAGAACCCTGACATTCCTGCTTCAAATATCCTTTTGTATGGATCTCATATAATATTCACTTTTTATGAGAAATTGAATTTTGGGTTTTCATTATGTGCAAGCCATAAGCACAAAAATTGCAATAAATAAATTTTGAAAATGCTTCACTCCATCTGCAATGTAATGAATTAGAATTTTTTTCACCACCATTATTAGATACTCTCAGTTGTCTTCTTTGCCCTCCAGGTGGCGTTCTTACCACCAACTCTAGGCTGATTCTGCAGTCATCTCTGTCAGCACCAGCCTCAGTCTTTTTATGATCAGCTATCACTCTGTGTCGTTTCATTTTAATGA